AGATTCAAACTCGTGATATCAAAGAAGTTTGTCTTGAGATGATCTTCAATACAGCTACTTTGAGGGGGTTAGTTTATACCTTGACGTTTCGTGTTTGATTAACCCATGATTTGTTGTTAAAAGCTTGTTGGATTTAAATTATTTTGGCCATACCCTAAAAATATGGTTGGTCCTTTGGTCCCCATCATAAAGGGTTTACGAAGAATTTAAAGAGAAGTAGAGAGCATAGATTGATGGTTGAGAGAATCTAACAATAACAACAACAAAATAGTATTCTTATTTAATGGTTTTCCTTGTTTGCCTTATCAAAACCCATCTTCAAAACTTCTCCTTTTCTTTTGTTTTCCACCGATATCACACCTTTCTTTTTTGTTGAAGATTTGGTATAGATATTTTCAAATCTTACATTATACTTTTTATATGGTACATAACAAAGTATATATGAATTCTAGTGGTTTTATTGGGTCTATTGAGAGATGAATGAGCAACTTTTAGTGGACATATCATTTATAGATGCTTTATTTCGTGCCAAATATGAAATATTAAATTATTATCTTTTGTTGTTACAATGAGACATTTAGGCTAACCCAATTTTAATGTCACAATTGTAGACTTTGTAGTTGTGTTCTTGTTTAGGTTTTGGTAATTGGTGCTATCATGCCTACTTTTAAGAGAATAAATTATGAAATATATAGCTAGGTGTTGGATTGGAATTGTGTTTAGTACTACCAAACCAATATGAAAAAATATTGATAATTTCTATGAGCAATAAAGAAGAAGTTAGTGTTGTCTTTCAAGTTCCACCAAAATGGACGATGTACCTTGTCTTGTCTCTCGTCTCTGACCCTTCCTTCGGGGAATTATTGTCTTGGCTATTAAAAAGAAAAAATGGGTCCAAAAATATCATTACCAACTTAATTGACCTCGCTACTCCCACATCTAAGTTTATATTCGTGAATCCATATAAAAAGAGAAAGTAAACATATTGTATATATCTATATAGAGGTACACATAAAGCTGATCAATTTGATGATGGTGAAGATGAGTAAGAATCCATATATATATGAATTGACTTGATGGTGATGATGATAAATATAAGAATCCATAGCTATCCATATATATTATATAAAAACAAAGTATTGAGGAAGAGTATTGATTAATTAGTTTGGTTTTACTTGAAAGCTACAATTTGGCTAACTTCTGAAACCTTGTGGTTATATACATATGAGGAGATAGAAGGCACAAAGCTAAGTGTCTATTATCTTGTTATTTCTGTATATTACCATATGTAAAGGATCTTTTGGTTTAGCCAAGTGAACAAACTGAAATATTTGGCTTTCTTGATCTGATTTGTATGTAAATGTTCGAACAGAGATTTTACTGGTCATCAAATAATAAAGAAACCAAATAAACCTTACCATTCAGTATTCACATGTTACCTACCATACCACTCACAAGTCACAATTATGCATTAAATTTGACCGTTAATTTATCTTTTAAGTATTGTAATATTTTTGTATATTGTAGTTAGGTTCTTACGTGAGACCAAGGCACAAGCCACACCTTTTAGAGAAAGATGAAACAAACAGCTAAATAAAACTTTTTTTCTAAAACAATAATACAAAATTGACTCTTCTTTTGTACTACACTACTTCTCATATTTTTCAACAAACAAAGATGGGCTCATTAAACAGTAACAAGGAAAAAATAATGAATTGATAGCTAGGCTCAACATCCAAAGCAAACTTCATGGTATGGTGCTTTTAATAAACAAATTATGTACTCTTAACTCATAATTAGTTTCATTAATCCTTTAGGAAATTTGACTTAGACCAAATCATGTATTGGCTCATCAAGAGATGCCATTCCCTTACATCAATGTTTTTGCCTACCTGTCTTAGCTCTTGCCACCACATTTCTACTTCTACACCTTTTGTCTATATACACACCCCAACAAAAAAAAAAAAAGAATATATACACATATCTATAGTCTGTGTGTGTCTGGTCCATTCTCATCTTACTATCTTATTTGTGTAAAGTCTAATATTCTCACTATAATTAAAAACAAACAAAAAAATGTAAAAAATTTTGTTCCAAAATAAATGTTATTTTGATAACATGATTTTGTTTTCTAAACATAACATTTAGATATAAAATTTAGAGAACTTGGCAAGTATATCTCCATCAATTACGCTATATTACCCCATGTACAGATATATATATATTTGAACATTTTAGATTATAATTACACTCAAATAAAATTAACTCTAGTTTATGTATTTTAGTTTTGATGTTAACTCGCATAAAATATGGTATGGACTGTTCTAGTTATGACCAATATGATATATATATATATATATATATACTAAACACACGTATGCACATGTTTATATATATCCTTCGTTTTGAAGAAGAAGGAAACGACTTTTTTGGTTGAGAATGTGAAATTGCATAGTGTGAAGCATTATTATTGTTACTCATGAGGAAACGTGAAGGTGGCCAAAAGGGATAATTTTTAAAAACCCCTAATTAAAGAAAAATAATGATGTCCAATTGTGTATTTTGCATCCTAATCAAATCTAACACCTTTGAATATTGACTCTTCTTCTTTACCACTTTTTTATATTTTTATTTTTCAATTTCTATTTAACATAAACTAATTTCCAATCTTGTATCATCGATTAAGTCACCATTTTCTCATCATGGCCAACACATAAATCCAACTAAGGCTAAAGTTGCACCTATATAGATGTGTATGCGTATAAGATAAACATTATACAGAAAGTCTTCTAATTAAGTAACCTAAAAAAATTTCTTAGCATACATATGTATAGAACTTGTTGTTATTATCTTCACCAAATTACCCTCACCCTAGATAGTGTTTTTGAAGATGCCTTCATTGCCTTTGTCACATGCACCACCAAAGATATTAAATTTTCAACATCATGTTGGTTTGCTTAAACGTCCAACTTACCAAATGACACACGATCTTTTTTATGTTTTGGTATATATATGTGTTCAAAATATATTTTTTATATATAAATATGTATTATACTAAGTTGTTTATATATTACAAATGAAGGTTTGTTATATAAATATGTAACGAAGGAAGTATGAAAATGAGAAAGTTGGGTGGGGTAAAGAGTGTAAGAGAGATTGAAAAGTGAGGATAACATGTTTTATAGGAAGAGAAGAAATGAATGTTCAAGAAGTTTTATATGCCTCAAGAAATTCACAATTTGGTGTTGGTGGGGCTCCTCTCTAAAGGGCAAAGAACAAAAGTGTGTGTTACATATATGTCTCCATTACTATTTTCAATATTATTTACTTTTATAACAATCACTCTGTTTTGGTCAAATCATCATAGACGATAATAATAGTCCAAAATTCCTAATAGCCATCGTTCTACACTAATCCACAATATATAGACAAAACTGATTTTGATTTTTTGCATTATATATATAGGTTCCTTACTGGCCTAAAGTTCAAAACTAATTAAAACTTTGGAATTGTATTAGGTTAAGTTAAGCAAAGAGCAATGACGACGACCCACCTAATATCTAATATAATATTTTTATGATCGATCATGATTAACTTGCTGGTTATTTTGATAAAACTTGTTGATTATGTTTGATTTAGTTGTTAGGTTTATGAACCATCATGATCCTTTAGACCTTTCTCCATATATCTATCAATACAATACAATACACACATATTATATTGTGTTCGCGCGCAAATGTATATACATATGTCTTTATCATGGAAAAAGTCAGTTACCTGCAATACCATAATTATCTAAAATTCAATCAGATTTAACAGTAAAATTTTAATTATTTACCTAATTTTTTACATTCGTGAATAATAATATGAAGTGTAGTATTTGGTATGTATATAAAAGTTTTGATTTAAGTAAATCTTAACATGGTAAATATAAAAATAGATCAGTTTAAAGAAGAAAAAGAATATTAAAAAAGAAAGAAAAGATGGTGCCGTTTGATTGCATCAAAGCAGCAATGCGAAAACACGACAGAGAGTCTTCTCGAGAGAAAAAGCAAGAAAACACCAAAAAAGATAGGAAAAAACAAAGCTTGAGAGGCACGAAGTTTTAATTTTCTTGAAAAACAAAATAAATATACGACTAATATTGTTAAAAGTATTGTATTTCCTGATTATAAGTACAATTATGTTGTTTTGTTTACGACACAAATCAAATAATATTAGCTCGTCTAATATGCATGCATATATATATGTGATTAAGAACTACTATATGTTTGTTTTATATTAAGAAGGACTAATCCAAAAAAAAAAAAAAGAGCTGAAACTAACTTTCAAACTTCAATGATATGTACTCTACTAAATATGAAGCTTCAGGAATCCTCTTGATGAGCTGAACAGGAGGAGATGAAGACAAGATAATAAAACGAGTTCGAAGAAACCTATAACTAAATGAACATGTTAGAGTAGATTGTATAACTCTTAGCATCAATGTTAGTCCGAGATCAGGGGATACGATGACTCGATGATGCAACATATTGAACAAATAGCTCATTTCACTATGTTGTAGAGAATAGAGAGATGCATCCAACAAGGCTCCACGACCATGTTATTGTTAGCTACCAAGCCATCCAAATATTGTTTAAAAATCCAAAATATATTTTGATTTTGATGTAATGTAAAACCATTAATTTTTTTAACCAAATATTCTTTAACAATCAATTTGGATTTTATACTCAAAAGTCAAAACATAGAAAATATTTTACAATTTAATTCACTAAAACAAAACTGCTAATATTGACGAATCGATACGCGTATAGTATATGGATCTACAAAAAAAAAAACGAAATATCCGTTTCCATTTTTGAAAAAAAAGTAAAGTAAAAGTAAATAAAATCAGTAGATGTGATTCAAATATTCAACATTTTGAGAGTTGATAATTATAATAAATGAGAATCATGCTTACTATGTGCATATAATAGAGCCACTTATATTAAATTCCCTCTTTGCCTTGAGAAAAAAAAAAAAACTTGCCAATCCCATTCATCTTCCTCTCCCTCTCTTCATCATCTTCACCATTTATTTTTCTTTAGAATCCCGAGGCAATAAGTTTCTTTACAATCTTTTATCATCATCACCACGGCACCATGTCCTATACAACATCCGTAGTACATGTACATATAATCTTTTGTCTGATTTAAGACAATACTCAGAGATTCCCATCAAGAAAGAAGAAGCTTCCTTCTCTCTTTCTTTTTTTTTTCTTTTTCTTGATTTGTCTGTCTCTGTTCTTGTTCATGGCGGTCCAAGCTCATCACCATCCTTCTACTCTCTTCTTCCTCAACAGGTCCTCTCTCTCTCTCTATGTATTGTATTATCTTTCACTGTGTTGATGTATATATGTATTCATATATGTGTGTGATGTTTCGATTTTCTCAGAAACGGACAAGAAGGGAATGATTGTTCGAATCAGCCGCAGCAAAAATCTCAGTTTCACTCAATCAACGCCGGTTTGTTTTCCTTAATCTCCTAACCGATCGATTAAATCGGTTTTAGTTATCTGACCGGGTGATTCTTTGTTTGAAAACAGGGGTTGATTCAAGAAAGAGAGCGAGAGAAGTTTCGTCGGTGATTGATTTAGAAGAAGATATCACGGCGACTGCTCCGATGAACCCTCCGCCGCAAACTCCGCCGCAAGTTATGGGACGTCGACACAATCCTAATGTAGGAGTATCAACCGGTCTACGTTTGTCTCGTGAACACTCGTCTCAGAATCAAGAACAACGGTTTTCTTCTTTTCCGATGGTTACCGGAGATTTCGCCGGAGAAATCAAAAGCCAAACGGACGAATTAAATAGATTTCTTCAAATCCAGGTGACTATATTTTTTTATTCAAAAAATTATCCAAACAAAAAAAACATAAGTTTTTGAAATTCAAAAAATTATTATCTATACACTTGAAATTTTCCAAATACTTGTTACTTATTAGAACAAAAAACTTAATAAAATGGTAATGGTTGCGTTTTTTATAATTTTGTTTGGTAATTTTTCCTTTTTGTAAACGAAAACATAGAAACGAGGAATTTTAAAAATAATTTATAAAGCAATTTATTAATTTTTTGGAATTTTGTTTGATAATAATACTATAAACCAAACATAAAATGTCTTCATTTTAAAATACGATAAATTATTTTTATTTTTGTCCAAATTTTATCGAGTTTTTTTCTTCTTTTTAAAAAATAGGGAGAGCAGCTGAGGTGCATGTTAGCGGAGAACAATGAGAGGCACTATCGTGAGCTGCTGAGAACAACGGAAGAATCAGTTAGGCGGAGATTAAGAGAGAAAGAAACGGAGATCGAGAAAGCCACGCGTCGTCACGCCGAGCTAGAAGCACGTGCGGCTCAGATCGAAACAGAGTCACGTGCCTGGCAGGTGAGAGCTGCTGCGAGAGAAGCCGAAGCGACGTCGTTACAAGCTCAATTGCAGCAAGCCGTAGTAGCAGCTCACCACCACCGTGGCGGAGTTATCACGACGGCGGAACAAAATTCAGGAAGCGAAGACGGTGTGGATGAAGCCGAAGACGCCGAATCGGCTTACGTGGATCCCGATCGGTGCGAAATGATCGGACCGGGGTGTAGGATTTGCTGGCGGCGGTCGGCGACGGTGTTGGCTTTGCCGTGTCGTCATTTGGTTCTGTGTAAAGGATGCGACGGCTCCGTACGAGTTTGTCCGCTTTGCCTTAGCACGAAGAACTCGAGCGTGGAGGTTTTTTATTCTTGATGGGCCGTCCATTATTTAATGGGCTTATCAGGCTCAGTAAATTGGCATTTTTATTTTAAAAAAAAAACTAAAAAACTATATTCTATATTAATTAAATTTATCATCATTTATATATAAAAAGTATACTGTTGAGTTGAGAGGTTTTTTATGTACATAGCCACATGCAGTGGTCTTTTCTTAATAATTTTTTTACGTAGAAAATCATAATAAATTAATCTTGACCATTTGTTTTTTTGTTTTGTTTTGAACACATGGTTTCTATCTATACTATTTGATGATTTGTGAATAATTAACCAAACATTTAGTAATGTTTTTGTGAGGTTATAGTATTTTGGAGTATAATTAGGAATATGATCTAGGGTTTTTGATTTTTTTTATATATTTTTGTATGGTTATAGACTTGTAATAATTGAAGTATTATTAGGAATTTCAAATATTCTAATATCCCCCTGATCACACTAATCTATCACCATGCATAAACCTTTGCTATGTCAATTTGTTTCTATAAATTTTTAATAATAGACACACAAAAAAAGAGTAGAATCTATATATTCATATAAACCCTATGAGAGAATAAAATAACTTTTTTTATATAAAAAAACAGTAGTTTCTGAAATGCTTTCTCCAAAGCCACTGCGTATATGCTTTTTCTAGTCCTTTTCATGAGATGTAAATTCAATTTCGGAAGAAGAAAACGAATAATAGTGAGAAAACTCGTGACTTCTCCACATAGTGCCATAGCCAATTTAGCCATATACGACCTACAAGTCTATACGCTCATTTCATGCCTATTTTTCAAACTAATCATAGTCCCAATTTCACCATTTCATTTGAAAGTGTCATACAAGTTGTTCGTACCTATAACTTTTCATTTTTTCTTCGATATATATCTTGAGAAACTAGTGGTGCATGCAATCACGATCGGGAAGAAACTAGGTGTAGAAGAGATATACATACATACTGGTGAATCAAGAATAATAATAATAATAAACATGAGTGTTCGAAAACTAAACATGCGTTGTAATTAGATAGACATATCTAGACTTTAACGAACAAAAGTAGATTTTGTTCACATTTTAAAATGATATTAAGTCAGTAGTAGTAAACATGAAACTGCTTTTAACTTAAATCAAGGAAAGTGGAAAACCAACTCATACCTGCAAAAATAAGAAAACCAAAAGGTAAATTATATTATTCCATTTCATATCTCTCTTGACTACCCAAAGTATGCTAATTCCTTCAAAGTTAGTTATATATTTGGAGCTTAGATATAATGCTCTATTTATAACAAAGGTGTGCTCATATATTATGCCTCTATATCTTCAACCTTTTTCTATATAAATATTTTATTTACTTTACCTATATTTTCCTGATATGACTTATGTGATTGTCTTTATTTGTTTTTTACGTTATGAAGGTTCGGGTTCATACTGTAGTTTTTGAGATCGATCTTTAATTAAAATATGTGTTTGATCCATAAACATAAATGATAAACTACTAGAAACGAGATTAGAACTAACATTATTGTAATAGCTGATCATCTTTAAATAGTTGAGCTAACCGTGTTTAAATAAACTAATAAAGTGAGTTTTACGTAAAATTTATTTACTTAACTTATTCAAAACAAGAATCATATCATCTGAAATTGATGTACACATACAATAAGACAAGTAATTAACAAGCAGGTTATTAGAATGCTTGCTAGCTGTCTTATTATTATTTCATGTTTTATTGAAATTTGGTAAGCGATTTTATCGATTATCATATCGAATGCTGTATTTATCATGTTTTAAACCGTAGTGTTTTCTTTTTTTTTTGGCTCAAAATTTGTCAATAATGACAGCATGATCAAACATTCAAACATGATTGACCCAAACAAAACAAAAGAAATAGTAAATTAAAACATTTTAAAGAATGTAGTGATATGGAACACACTATATATTAGAGGGTCCATGAGATAAGACAATGATGCAAAGATTAAGAGGAACAGTTCGATCTGAAATTCGTAATTGTGTTATATTAAATTAAGGAGAAAAAGAAGAAATAAACCAATGCTTTGATATATTCCAAGTTTGGTGAGACAATTATCTTTATGAGTTGCATCGATAGACTTTTAAATTTCACGTGACAATAATGCAATATAACTACATATCTGTGACACAAAACGAAACAATACAATATTCAACATGATGTGGCGTTTGAGTGCATTATTCGTATACATCTCGAAAACAAAACACATTTACTTGATATGACGAGCCAAAGCAAAATATATATTAAAAAATGCATGATTTAATAATAAAAAATTATCTCCTAGTTTACATGAAAATGAGAATTATGAATTAAATATATTTAATTTTAAAAAATATATATTTTCTGTTTATGAATTATAAATATTTTCTCCTAGCTTAATAATAATGATAATAAGAACGATGATTTGAACCCTAATGACAAGTTTGTAGTTTGATTCATATTAAACTGAAGATGTGTTAAGTTTGGTTTGCTTTTTTGTAATTTAGCAATCTAAAAATTATATTAGAACTAAAATTTTCGATGAAAAGGTATGTTAATTATGAGATATATACTTATATGTAAATCTAAAATCAAAAGTGACACCTCTAACGATAAAATGACATAATGTTGGGCCTATTATGGGCTTATATCTTATATCGGAAAAGTTGAGGAAAATAGAAAACATGTAGCCGAGATATTAACAAAACTAGCCCAATTTTATTTTATTGGACACCTTTTTTTTTTGGGTTATATGAACAGAGAGTGTCGTTTAAAATAACCTTAAAACACTTCGATTGTTAAAACTTCACAAGAGTTTTTGGTTCACGTTGTTCCGTTGGGCCACGAACGAACCATATAATACGTTTCCCCAAATTAATAATGGTCAAAAAAGTTACTTCACTCAAGTTTCTCACCATGAAATTTAACAATTTGACCCATTCTATAAAAGTTAAAACAACACGAATCTAGTGATTTGATTATTCATTTTTCCGTGATGTTTGAAGTTTGTCACAAATGCACATTATAGCTAATAATAATATGTTTTTGCTAACCACTCTTGGTTGATACAAAACCCAAAAGTTGTTGCATAGGTTTATTTTGCTTTATGCAACCTAATATTAGGGAATCTCCCGTAGAGTAAGCGTGTACTTGGATTTATCAATTTTGACAAAAACATTTACCCAATTAAAAAAAACCCGACAACCATATTTCAAAAAGTTTTATTACCATTTACCAAATGAAATTAATAACATTAAAGTCATAAAAACGTTTATAAAGATTATGAATATAAACCAAAAACTAAATAGATTACTATTCAAATTGTTAAAGAAACTAAATTTACACCAGAAAGAAAAAATAATAATTTAAAATTATGAACCTTTTTTTTTATGGTTTTAATCTACGTACATGAACCTTTTTTGCTACAAGAACCTTTTGATTATTAATCAGAATTTAATTTACGACAAAAAAAAAATCAGAATTTAATCTCAATTATTATAAATTCTCTAATGAGAGGTTATATAATTATGCAAAATGGGAAAGAACAAACTATCAATTTGTTGGCGAAATTTGTACTTCAAACTTGCCCGATTCGGTGAATGTGGGGACGAAAGAATCAGTTTTACAATCGGACGGTCACAAAATTGCTCAAAACGTTTTATAATTATAATGACCGTCAGATAGTGAAAACAACAGATTCATTGGTGGAAGCATAGCAAAATCCTAGATCGGTTGGTTTGGGTCTTACGTGTCACGATTTCACATGCCTTGGTTTTACACGTGTACTTTAGACATCCAACATCTGAGGACAACGTATGTAATATGCCATTATTATATATTTTTTTCGTGTAATAAAGTATATATCGACTTGTTACGTCGGTCTAAAACTATTTCCAAGAGATATTATATCATAGGAATCAAAAGTGATAGGCATGGTTTTTTAATTCTTGACAAAATTGTTTGGTGAACCTTTTGTTTTTGGTTAACTTGATTTTCTTTTGTTAAATTGGTGAACTTACTTTCTTATAAACAACTAAATCATCCCATCATATATATTATCAATTTTTTTCCAGCAAACCAGACTTTTATTAATTGTAAAGAGTAACTATACTATAATTATCGTAGCACACTGCACACACAACTATTCAGGCAAAATGTATAGATATTTTCAAATGATTTTGTGCATATGCTTAGTAAATAAATATGTTATGTATCTGAAGATACAATTTAGCATAATAGTGTATCACGATTATAAGTAATAAAGTAGCTAGTATTTATTTCATTTATGGGTTCACCACTATATGTTTCACACATGTTTTGACTCTCCATCTACTAGCAAGATATTATTTTTTTCCTTATGCTAAGTAAGGTAAGAACATCTAAAATTGAGAAAGTAGGTTCAACCAGTATTATATAATGTTCTTCTTCTTAGTAACAAAAGTCTTGCAACATTTTTTTAAAAAATATTTAATATTGCGAAGGAAAAGTAAGAATAGTCTATATAGCTAGGGGCGATGGATTCCCGGGACATGCCCGGCAAAGAGGAGTGGTTGATGAAATAAACAAAACCTCGTAAGCACTTTTGACCCTTTTTATAACAATATAGATTTCTTCCTTATTTTAGTTGCTTAGGTGAAAAAATCTAGTAGCTAGAGAGAATAGAGAAGCTTTCATTATTGGCTATGACATCACCATGTTGACAAACTCATACACAAAAAGCTTACACACGAGTCTGTTTAATAGGTGTGTATGATTCAAATTAAAGTAAATATAAACTCCTATAAGGTAAGCTTAATTATGAAGCACTTTAACTTTCCTTGTAACGAATATATATCAACCACTATAGTAGATATAACTAATTTATTGATCTCACGAAATCATCGAGACACTACTACTACTACTAGTAATAATAATAGTGGTTCAACGGATCAAACAAATAAGTCGAGGCAAATGCAGAGGCAAGAGAGTAAATACGAACTTCAAGTCTTCAAGATATGAGTGGACCCATACAATACCCTATACGGGTTTGGGCGGTGAGTACACGTCATGTAGTGTGAGAAAGTTACCATCATATTTTCTATCTTTTTTTTATTTTTTTTGGAAAAGACAAGAGAGGAGAGAATAGTTCAATAGGAATTTGGGGGAAAAAGGTGAATAGGAATGAGAAAGACCGACGTAAGCGAAACGATGATTTTCTTTTCTTCTTTTGTTTGGTTGTGTATGTTGTTGTTTCTTGATTTCAATACTATTATACCACTATAAGGAATATGTTGACATGTTAATAGTAAAAACTATTGGGGTAAAAAAAGAAAATTACTGGTTTGTTTTTGTAACATTTTCAGAAACATAGTTAAGAAACTATATTTATCGTCAATCGGATCCATCAATTAGAATCGAATTATGGGAGAAAACAAGAACAACGTTTTATAAATATTTGAAACTAAAAATAGTATTTTTCTATAATATTTAGTGTTTTTAGTTCGGAGATTGAGACACGAACAAGTGGGTGGTGTGGTATCAGTAAACATCGGAGCCTGATGAAACCTTGCGCAAGTGTGCGACGTCAACTTGATAAAAATAAAATATATATGCTTGCACGTATTCCTTAGCTTGTGGACGTAAGGTGCATCACACTCGAAGCTCCTCCCCTTTCCCAATCAATAAAATCATTATATTACACCATATAGTTTAAAGATTGATGGAACATATGGAAACTCTTCTTTTTCTCCAATGCAATTGCTAACCGGTACTTGTAAATCTATACTATATTAAAATCCAATAATCATATATATATAGGTTAACCACTTGGAAATAAAATAAAAGATCTGTCCAAAAATAGTTTTACTTGAGTGATACTGATACACACACACACATATGCATGTAACGTATAGTAATGGTGTTGACAAGAAAAAAAGAATTGAAATAAATGAGATATTGCGGTGTGTAAGCAAACAATGGTGACGGTGCATGGTTTTGGTGGTGACTGTGATTATTAATGTTGTGGGACTTTAATTAAAGTTCCGTTTGAGAAGGTTGTAACGTTCATACCCAAAAAAAAGCTCCTTAGAGGAGGTATTGTAACGTTCATAATCAAAGAAAGCTCCTTATAAATATCACCATTTTAAGGAGGGAATGTATTTATAAAAAAGGTATAACATGCAAAACTTTTGAAACAATGAAATGACTTTTAGAGAAATTTATAACTAGTGATCGATCATTCACATACATCGAACTCATATCATCGCACCAGCACGTAAGCAACAAGCACCAAGTAGTACTATTAGTAGTTTTTGGTTGTACCTAGCTAGCTCTCTCCTAGACACCAAAGAAGATGCCTCAAAGTCTTCGCTAAAGACGTCACTAAGCTACTCACCCCCACCACGGAAATTCATAAAAGTAGACAATACGACAAGTTTCTTCATTTTCTATTCTCTTGATTCACTACACAAGTATATAAAAATAAACTTGAATTTACCATTTTTGTCGAGTAATATATGAGAAGAAGAAGAGAGACACAAGTAAACACAAAACACAAAGTAGTAGAAGTTAAAAAGTGGTGAGAGAGAGAAAGAGAGTAACGCTCGCTTCCAAAAAACCCCACGCTGGTGGGGTCCATCTGCGAATCCCTATGGTGGTGGGACCCATTCTTTTTAATGGGAACCGTGGTGGAGTATTTTTGTTTATTTACACGTATGGTCCCTGTTGTTATTTTTGTTTATTTACAGTATTGCCGCTATTTTGTTGTTTACTACTTCTTGTAACCTTAAAAACAAAAAAGAAAAGTCCAAAGTTGTTTCTCTTTGGACCGATATGATCACCTATTCACCTTTCTTGTTTACTGTTTCTTGTTATATTACTAAACAAAACAGTGTGTTAAATCAGATTTCATAGCTGTATTTTTAATTCTTCTTATATGAGTTTGTTTCATACTAGTCTTGAAATTGTTTAGCAATAGTAGAAACTCAGTTATTAGTAAAATCCATTTACATCTACTGTTTCAAAATGTATGGTTAGTAAAAACAAAGGGTTATTGGTAAAAAAAATGATATTGTGATTGTAATCTTTAAGTTTTTTTACTGCCTAATGCATATTTCTATTAGAATATTTTGACAGTAAATACTAAATACTAATCTTGTAATGTTTTTTGTTGCTTCCTTCTTGTTTTACACCACCTTTAAAAAAAAAAAAAAAAGGAGTTGCTTCTATTTGGACTGATGTGATCACTTGTTTCTTCACTGTACTTAACAGTAGGTTAAATCACAATTAATAGTTGTATACATATTATTAATTGGTACTACAAAAATTAGCTTGTATAAATTAATATCTTTCAATTATTTATAGGATCCATTTACACCTAATGTTTCAAAAATCTGATTAGTAAAAAAGGATTAGTCCTCTAAACAATAGTAAAAAAAAAATATTTTGTTTCTAATACTGGCATAAATAAAGTTATATAAGTTGAAAGTATGTTTTTTTGGTATCGTGTATATTATATTATTATTATTTAAAAAAACTAGAGACATTTTTATTTAATTAAACATTTTTTTATATGTGATTAGGATTATAGCATTGCTTGTTGTAAAAAAAAAAGGATTATAGCATGGCATTATTTCCTTAAATATTTTTACTATCTAATGTAAATATCCTTTAAGAAAAAATTGTTAAAAAGTTGCAGAATATTTTGACACTCAATACCAATCATAAATTTTTCAAACTTATGTAACATTTTTTTTTTAACGTGTTACTTAAAAATCTAAATGACTAATTTTTACTTTAATAATGTTGTCAAAAGTAAAAGGTTAATAATGGAACTAAAAAGCAAAATGTTCAAAAGTGTTGTACTTTCTACTGTGCTCTCTCTCTCGAAAGTTCCTCTAAAACCCAAAGGACGAGTAAATAAATAAATAAAAATCATTATTTGTAACGCTCTCTCTCTCTCGAGATTATTCCTTTACATGATGTGTCAAATTACATAAAAAAATAAAAGGTTACTTAAATTACTCAAAAAGGAAAAATAACAAAAGTAGTTTTCGATTTCTTGTACTTTCGAAATTGAGCATTTATTAAAAATGAGAGTTTACAAAAAAAGCCAATAGATTCTCCTCTCTTCTCAAAATTCGCCCCTTGTTTCTTTTTTTTTCTCTCTCAATACCAAAAACATCTTTTGCTATAAAATCACTCCCACTTCACACTTTCTTCACATCAACCCACAAAAAACCTCTCTTTCTCTCTCTTTCAAAATCCAGAAAAAACAAAAATGGAGGTTTCATCAACGAGAAAGCCTTATTTCATCGAAGAGGAGGAAGATGATGAGACTTTGGCTTCTTCTTTGTCAGAGATGGAAGCTGGGTTCTCTGGTAACCATCATGGGAGTAACCAGAACGGCGTCGTTTCAAGCCGTTTCTCTTCTTACGCTAGATTGAGCAGTCTCAGGAATCAGAGTTATTACTACAACCAGTACTCTGTTTCGTCTCCGAGATCTGTTGTTTCTGGAAGGTTTCATGACTTCAGATTCGACAACCAACAGCCTCATTTCTTGGATTCTTGTTTCCTCTGTAAGAAACCACTTGGTGATAACAGAGACATCTTCATGTACAGGTAAACACTTTTTAAGATCTACTAACTTCTCCTTCAGATCTGATTCTAGATTTTTCAAAGTTTTCTCTTTTTGGTCGGATTTATGAATACCCATCAAGAAAGTTTTCCTAATTTAATGATTCATCGGTTCTGATTTCAGAATTCCTTTGTTTTGGTTGAAATTATGAAAATTTACAGCAAAGGATAGATTTTTTTGATACACATCTCTTCAATTTTTGTTGATTTTTAAAGTTTTTTTTGGTTTTGTGAATATTGCAGAGGAGACACACCGTTTTGTAGTGAAGAGTGTAGACAAGAGCAGATAGAGAGAGATGAAGCAAAAGAGAAGAAACAGAATCTGTCTTATTCAGTGAAATCAGCAATGAGGAGGAAAGAACAGAGAAGCTCTTCTTCTTCACCAACTAGATCTCGTGATTATGCTTTTCACAATGGAACTGTTGCTGCTGCTTAATTATTATTAAAAAGAAAAATCCAGACTTTGGGGGAAATTATAAAGTATTATATTAGGTTTAAGAAAGAAAATAACGTTAAGAAGCTGGTTTTGGATTCTCTCTTTCGATCTTGAGATCTTTTTAAAAAACTTTAGCTTCAAGTCTTGGGAAAAAAAAACAGAGGAAGCTAAAGATCCTTTCAATTTCTTTTCTTTTTTATGTAAGAAAAAAAAAAGAGTTAGACTTGAAATTTTGGGAAGTATGAGGAAGAAGAGAAATTGTAAATGCCTATGTGAATTTATAATAGTCCATGGCATGTTTTGAGTTAAATTTTCTTTGTGTTTTTTCAGATCTTGCTACTAATTACATCGCTAGAAGGAATATACTGATGTAAAATCGAACTATATGTTGGAACTATGAGAAATATATAAATACGAAAGAAACTATGAGAATAAAGTTTTTTTTTTTGTGATTTGATATAAGATTGAGTGAGAGCATTTGATTCTTTTTGTGGTAAGTTTGGTGAGTTGCGAAAAGTGGAAAATTAAAGGTATAAAGATCTTTTTCCTTCAAATGCTTTTGCTGGTAGTACATTTTTCTTTTCCTTCACGAAATGGTACTAGTACAACTATTACCAAATTAGTTCTCTTTCACATTGTTTCGGTATTTACAATAGTCTTCTTACCAATACATAATTAACTTCATGATTAGATTCCAAACAGCAACTTTGCATTTGCATTTGTCCAAATATATGAACATAGTATTTGTCATCGAAGACTTTGGCTCAAATGGTAAGCTATCATTTAATCGTTATTAAATTTCATTTATAAACACACAAATTACAAAATAGTATACCGATTTCTCTACTAATCTCACAATAAACCAACAAATAGCATGAACCATTAACTTATTAATAATACAGTAAAACCTCTATAAATTAATAATGTTGGGACCATGAAAATCTATTAATTTATAGAGGTATTAATTTATCGATAAATTAATAATTATTAATTTATAGAGAGATATTCCTAATTTGGAAAATATTTTCAAAACAATATTTAAAAATAAGATTTAATCATGATAATTAGTATTTTATATAATAAATTACAAATAAAATAATAATTATTATGTATTAAAATAGAATGCTAACTATTTTTCATATAGTAAAATATTAGAAATAAAATCTAACAAAAACTAATATGTCTATATATACATATATTTTGAAAATTTTACCTAATTATTAATTTATAATATTGATGGGACCATATATTTACAAAGGATTTTCAAAAAATTATTATCTTATTATTTTATCGAAATATGTCTAAAATTACACTGGTCCCAACTTGGGACCGGATAAATTTATTAATTTATAGAGATTATTAATTTATCGAGTATTAATTTATAGAGGTTTTACTGTATATATGTAAACCTCTAACACTAACAACTCCTCTCAAAATCATCCTCTAACACTAACACCTCCTCTCATACTTCGTTTCACAGGTTCTGCAACTTGTCTCCTCCTCACCTGATTACTTTCCTTAGTTGTAGTCATAGCAATCGGGTAATCTTCATTATCGGTTTCTTCGATGATCTTTTTCAATCTTTCCACTATAACTTCCATCGTGGGTCGTTCTTTATCGTTCTTTTTTAGACAAAGATCAGCAAGTTTAGCCAAACTCCTAGCTCCAGCAGCTGGATAATTGTTTCGTAGCCTAGGGTCAATGACCATGCTAAAGCGTTGACTATCAGCAGGGTACTCTTTGACCCAATCCAATAGCCTTTGTTCAGCTACTGGCTTGTTCCTCTCAATCGTTCGGCGACCAGTTATGATCTCGTAAAGCACAACACCGAAGCTATAGACATCACTCTTTAAGCGAAGATGACCAGTTTGCACGTATTCTGGAGCTGCATAGCCGTGTGTACCAACTTTCTGTACATAGAACGAAGAAGAAGACATGTTATTGAACTTTGAAGAGATTCATCACCTTAAACTACGAGTGAGCTTATACTGTATGTCAGACCAAACTGAATTTGTTAAACCACAACCAAAACTTCTCTATCATTCTATCAACCAATTGTTTTCTTACTAATTTAACTGAAATAGCCAAATACACACCACTCAAACAACAACATAAGTAACCGAGAAGTTTTCAATACTTACTGCGGTTGTGACATGAGTATTGTCTCCCTCAGGTCCTTCTCTAGCAAGCCCAAAGTCCGATAATTTGGGACAGAATTGATCGTCTAAGAGAACATTAGACGATTTGAAATCTCTATATATAACCTGCAACCAAATAAACAAGACATGATCATCCAATACATTCATTAAACACACTTTCTGACAAATTGGCGAAACTCAAACCTATATATCATCCCCAACAGATCAAAAACACAGTTCCCAGAATGTCTCAATCCTAATCTACTAATCTTGGCTACAAACACAGCTTAATGTATAACACTGTGCCTGTCCTAAAATATCAAGAACAATCAAAAGCATCTCTCTAAAACCAGATTTCCTCTGATAGATTTGAAACTTTTACCTTAAGGTCATGTAAATAAGCCAATCCTTCAGCCGCACCAAGCATGACCTCAAGTCTTCTTTTCCACGGTAATGTGCGTGATCCACGGGTGAAGAGATGGTCCTCTAAACTTTGATTTGACATGTACTCATAAACCAAAAGCCTCTCGATCCCGGTCTCCCCATCCTCTGAGCAATAACCTATGAGTTTCACAACGTTCTGATGATTCACTACCCCTAGAAACTGAACCTCTGCTAGCCATTGCTTGTGACCCTAACAACACACATAGAAGAGAAAATTCAAAACGTGTAAAGAAAATTTCAGAATTGACATTCAAGAAACAGAGTGACATTGTTGACTTAATAAATGCATCAATTGACTTGCACCTAGTCTAAATCTTTATTTCACGATCATGAAATTTCTTCAGTTCTACTTTTAAAACAAGTGCCGAATTTTGATTTTTCTTCATCATTGCATCAATCTAGTCTTCTATTTCACTATTCTAAAAAGCTCTTTTTTTCCCCCAAAATTTTATATCAAAGCAAGTTTGAAGAGAATCTCTTAGCTTTAACTAATTGCTTAATAATCTCCTAAACGATTAGATTAGCAAAAGAGAAAAACAGAGACAAGACAAGAAAACCTGTTGAATTGATTACCTGTAAACCTTGTCGATTGAGTTTCTTAATGGCGACGACAAGTGGACGATCAGAATCTCCTCCAGAAGCCAAAATCTTACCTTTATAAACACTACCAAATCCACCTTCACCGATCTTAAGCTTTCTGGTAAACCCATAAGTAGCTCTACTGAGTTCTTCGTAAGTGAAAACCCTAAGGTTTTGTTCTCTCACCGAATACAAATCTTTGATACTTCTTGGAGAAGGCAAAGATCTCGGCGTCTGGAGATTGAAGGACAACGTATCAGTTCGGTTCGTCAGTTCTGGAGCTGAGTTTTGGGACAATTCTTTACCTTTCCTTCTGTTCTTTTTCTTCTTGTTGTTGTCTTTCTCTTTCTGTTGATTTCTGGGTTTCTTTGATTTGAACAGGAACAGACAATTCATGTCTTAAAAGAGAGAAAAGATTGAAACTTCCTGTGAAATTTTGATACTTTTGAGCTGACTAAACCCAAAAAAAAAAATGTACTTCCAAAAAAAGCTTCCCTTTTCCTCAAAACAGAGAAAGATAGATTATTTATGAACAAAAGACAGCTGAAGAAACAAAAGAATGGTTTGTGTTTTTGAGGATAGAGGTCAGAGTAAAGAATTGATGAGGTGTGTCTGTATGAACACAGATCTATTTAACAGCTTCAGGAGAAAGAGAATTTTCCTAGAAAATAGAGGAAAAAGACAACATTAAAAAGCCAAAGAGATGGATGATGAGTAGAGTAACAAGACTCTCTCTCTTTCTATCTATCTTCGTCGAGAGAGAAAGAAAAAAAAAATGAATTCTTTAGATGGGAAAAAGACACAAAACGTTACGCCATTGCTTTAAAAGATAAAGGAGATTAGAGAAGAAGAGAAGAAGAGAAGAAATCGCGTTTTTTTTAACAAGAAAACAGAAGAAATCGCGTCCGTACGGATCACTCGTAGAAAAGTATGTGTGAATGGAAAAAGAAAGAGAGATTTTTAATGATCAATGGGGACAAATGGACTACACCAAGACTTTGTCTTCCATACTCAATTACTCATACAATTCTTAAAAGGCTCTGCATTTTAAAATTGTATGTGTAATTTAGTACTGATCTTTTGGAATTTTCGAATGAATTTAACATTTCATACTCGTTTTATTTTAGAAATTATGGAATATGTAACTCAATATCATAGATGAATACAAAAAAATAAGGCTAGCAACTATATTCTGGTTTAAAATTTAGTTAACGAAAAATGTTTAATTTTTTTTTCTCTCGACTAAACTTTGAACAAAATTGAGACTATTATTTTTACCAAACAAAAAAGTGAGACTATTTTAATCGGTCTCCATAAAAGAAGGAACATAGTTGAGTCTATAGATGAACAACATAACTTGCTACGTAATCAGTCCTATAATCTCTTAAAAAAGTTCGTAATTTTTTAATAAAATTTGACAGAAGGAATACATTTGAAAAATGGTATTGAAAAAGAGTATTTTTGAAATTCTCCCAAATAGATTAAACCATTTAAATATCTATTTTTTTATTTCATATTATGTTTATCTTGTGTAATTATTTTATTCATCTGCTACTTTAAATATATAATTTTATACAAATATATGTGTGGATTAAACTAAAAAAATAGTGATATATTATATTTATTAATATGTATACCATGGTGGTTTAAAAGATTCTAATATAAATGATGATGATGTGAATTCATAAAAATATATATATAAACTAATATATATCAGGGTAATTTTTGTATTTTTGAAAAAATATTCTTGTAAGTTGGTACATATTTTTGCTATGAAGTTTATTTTTTCGACTAACATTTCAATTTCCAATGAGTGACTTTTGATTGTTTGGGTTAAGTTCGGATCACATTTCATTTTTTCGTAAAATCGGAATGGATTACAAGAAGTTTTTCAGAATAATGATCTATATGATTTTTTTTTGTATAATCGGAATGTAGTACAAGAGTTCTTGTGTTGATGATGATCTATAAATTTCAAAATAACGCATGAAAAATTCAAGAAATGCAACGAAAGTTGCAAAGGCATATTAAGCCTCGATCAGTCGCAACACACTTGCCCATTCCTTTCAATATTTGTAAGCACAAAGCGGTACACGAGCCAATACCGCAGCCTACCTCTCCTAAAACCCTATGACACATTCCTTCTTGTCCTTGAATCTCATTCACCATCAATCCTGTCGAAATATGATTAAAAACGTAAAATTTATCAGTTTTCGTGATCATAACGACAATGTTTTATAATAGAATTAGAGATGGTTAAAAAGAAAAACCTAGAATAAGGATGACGTAGACAACAAGAAACGTGAATTTGCTCATTTTTGTAATGATATTTGAAGTCTTCAAAATAAAAAAATAATTAGAGTAGTGGTAGTTTATGATGAAATATCACACACACACACACACACACACACATATATATATATATATATATATATATATATATATATATATATATTATTTAGATACATGCATATATTACAAATTCTTTTCCCCCTTTATGCATATTTCTTACTAAAACATAACCTAGTAGTGGTAGGAAAAAAATAATTTGATGTAAACCTAGTCAATAAGGTAACTTAGAACTTATATATTTTTGGTTAAAGCTTAGATTTTTTTATATAATAAATTTATGATGAATATTGGTAAGTAATTAGACAATTATTGATAAACACATCAACATAGTAATAATCCAAACACTAGAATTTGAATATAGGGATTGTATTCAAAATAGTATTTTAAGTGATTTGTAAAAAAACTATAAATTTTAATAATATAAAATCATGGATTTTAAAAACTCTAATGAAATCCAATGTTATTGAATTAAGATTTTAAAATCTACCTTAAAATCCAATGTTATTGAAAATAGTTTATGAATTTGATTTTTAATGATTTTGAGGAATTTGAGGGAATTTGAAATGATTTCCTTAGTTAAAAAAATACAAAAATCTAATTCTCATGATTTTTTTTCTTTCAACCAAATTTATATTGAAAAGACATTCTCTGATTGGTAATCCACAACTCTCATGATTTTAGGTGGGATTTACAAAGATTTTATAATAAATCATATCAATCTCCCTAAAATCATCAAAATCATGTAAAAACTCACAAAAACTTAAGGGGAGGGGTCTATTCAAAGTAAAATTTAAAGTGATTTGAGTTTTCTTGAGTTTTTAAATGATTTTAATGATTTTTGTAAAATCTTTTCAGAACTCACTTAAAATCATGGGATTTGGATTTTTATATTTTTAACTAAGAAACTCCTCTCAAATCCTTCAAAATCATTGAAAATCAAATCCACAAATCTATATTAACATTTTTTTAAGTACCTTTTGTGTTCTACCCTTTAATTTTGTAATATTTTCATAATTAACCCCTTGCCATTTGATTTTTTTTTTTTTTTTTTTTTTTTTTTCGTCAATAAAATTATATTGAATAATTGTAAAAATCATAATACAATTGGTTTCTTAGCCATGAAGGCGGATACAAGAAATCAGAATAAAAAATAAAAAAATTACAACCATGAGAGGCCAGAAGATGAGCGACTTTATTACAATCTCTTTTACAAAAAAGAAAGGAAATAGAAGTAAATTTTTTGGACCAAGCAATAATATCATGGAAAACAGCTTCAATAGTAATATTATGGTGTTGTCTTTGTAACATTTTAATCAAAAGTTCACTGTCTCCTTCGAAGTACACATGCTTAACACCCCTAATCCAAACTTGTTGGATT